CTCCGGCCCACACCCTCCACTCTTCCCCGTCCTTCTTTTCATCCTCCCACGGCCCATCCGTCCCATCGCCCCCCTGCGTCTCTCTGGTCCCATTCATCACTTCTTCATCCTCTCCCCCATCGACAACTCTCGACCAGCGCAACCATCAACACCGGCCTTGGATGATTGCTGTATTGGCAATCAACTCGTGTTGTCCGTCGACCGCACAGACACCACGAGGCTAACGAAGATCGAAACGTCCGAAGAAGCCATCATCCCCGGATTCGCAAATTCGCAGCGCCCCCCCGCGTTTTGTGCAAGCGAAGCAGGCTCTGTCGTGCAGGAAGGGCCGAATACTTCTCGGTCAAATCGCTCTCTCTCCACGATTCGCTCCCACCCCAGCCCAGGCGACCCAGAACTCACGCTCCTTTCCCCGCAAAGGCCCAATCCCACCTCGAACTCAAGTGTTCAAGTGCTGCAACGACAACTCGTCGTCGCCCTCAAACCGTTGATCCCCGTTTCCGGCGTCTTAGCTGACACGCCTGACCTGGGAGAAACACCGAAAACTCTCACCAAAGTCGAACATTCGGGCACTCTGTCACCCCCAGACGCTCAATCACACCGGTGGACAACAACCGTTGACACGTTGACTCGGACGCTATTCTGACACACTTGTCCTCTGTCGCTCACCCCCGGACGCCCGTCGTCGTCGTCGTCGCCATGTCCCAGGCCGTCAAGAGGGCCTGTGACGCTTGTCATCGTCGCAAGGTCAAGTGCGATGGCATCAACCCGTGTCGCAACTGCTCATCCGCCCAGCTGTCATGCACCTACAACGCCATCCCGCAGAAGAAGGGCCCCAAAGGCTCTCGTGCCAAGGTTATCAGCGAGTTGCGAGAGACGCAGCGACAGACGAGTCTGACGGCCAAGGTTCACAACCGCATGAATGGCATCCCCAGTCCGCCAGAGCCCATGGGCGGCGCTCCCACGCCAGGCATGCTGTCGCCTGAACTCGTCAAGGACTGTCTCGATTTCTACTTTGCCAACTTGTACGAAAAGGCACCCGTCCTCGACCGCCGGAGGATCGAGCAGCAGCTGCCCTACATGGAGCAGAACCGCGATACCTACTGCCTCCTGACGGCTCTCTGTGGCTTCATGGTTGTTCAGCCCGGCATGGCTCTTCCCCTTGGCGACTACAACCTCGACATGTACCCCGGTGCCGACCTGGCCGCGAGCCAGGTTCTTCTCGAGGAGTGCCTCCGCGTCCGCCGAGGCCACGACTACCTTGACAGTCCTACTCTGGACACGCTCGCCACCAGCTTCTTCATCTTTGCCATCTACCAGTCTATCGAGTTGCACGACAAGGCATGGTTTTATCTCCGCGAGGCTACGACCATGGTTCACCTGAGTGGTATGAACAAGGAGGACACGTACGGCCAGTGGGACGCCACCGAGTCGTCCCGGAGGAGACGGCTCTACTGGCTGTTCTTCGTTCTCGAGCGTGCCCACGCCATCCAGCGCCAGCGACCCCTTACTCTCCAAGCCAGCATCAAGCCCCCTTCTTCTGCAGATGACCCTACCGACCCGCAAGCACACCAACTGACGAGCTTCATCATGCTCGTCAAGTTGTTCCACTCCTTTGACGACGCCTTCACCAGCTCCTGGAACAAGACGCGCAGCAACCTACCCCATCAGCACATTGCCACGCTGCAAAAGCAACTGGCCGACATGCTGCCGACATATCTCTGCCAGGATGACAACCTGTCGAACCTTCACACCAACCAGCAGTGGCTCAAGTCTACTCACTGGCAGCTGAGCAATGGCAGTATGAGTTCTCATAACGCCGACGGCATCGACTGGCAGGTTCCTCGCGACCTATCACGCGATCTTCTGATGAAAATGGCCTCTCAATTCCCTGGACAGGGCATGGAGCTGCTCGGCTCGGGACTTGTAAGTATCCCTGAATTCTGCAGTCTGCGTGTTCTCGCGCTAACAAGCCATAGATCGAGAAGGTCTTCGAGATTGGTTCAAACATGATGGACTTCCTCGTCACGCAGCCCGCCTCACGGGATCCCTTCAGTCTCGGACCTCGCGAGCAACTCAACCAGATTCTCAACATTGTCGGCGTCATGCGCAATGGCAACAACCACGTGCTGCCGCTGCTCTTCACCAAGATTAATGACGTCCTGCCACGCCTGACCAACCTCATGCTGCAAAACGCACCGGAGAACTGTGCCCTCGCCAACATTGACATCTTCGATGGTTTCGGCAACGCTGGCATGGCGCAGCCGCCTCCCCAGATGCAGATGCAGATGG